GGGGGGGGGGGGGGGTACCAGCCCTGCTGACGGCATCAGTGTTGGCCGTTGGTGGGGGGGGGGCATGTGTACCCCATGGACCTCCTACCGGTTGCCTATGCCTAGCACTATTTTCTACTAGGATTTCCCAGCAAAATATTTTGGCCCCATGCTGCAAATTTGCAGCACAGGGGACATTTTAACATTCCCCGTGTGCAGTTTGTGGCACCACAAAGAGGTTTGCAGCACTACAAATCTCATGTGCCTGCATGTCTGGATGTGGCCAAAAAGCACCCTTTCAATCTGCTGGCCAGATTAGACAGGTAAAGTTAATGGCTCAAAAATTCAATTTTCAATGGGACTTCAATATATTTTAAATAAACATCTGTTTTTACAAGCAATTAAAAGCGAAATGGCATTTAAATAACATGACTAATTCTACCAGCCAGTGTATTATCAGGCCAACCCATTTGGCATTAAATTCTCTTTATGCAATTTTTGTGGTGGCTGTTTGGCACAATGCAGAAACAAAACACTTTGGAGATCTGGCTGCTAAATAAATATCCTCTTCTGTATTTTATCTAATTGCTCCAATGCTTAACTTGCATTGTAACATTTTTTCCCTATGTGGTATGAACCATTAGATAGCCTTTAAAAATGCTAAACTAAGTTATCTGGAAAGATGCCAATAAGGAAATAATTAAGGACTTGGTGGCATTTTTCTGTTTTAAAGGTCATGGAATAAGTCAAGACCTGGAAAAATACAGTATTTTAATTGAATGTATTTACAGTATTGAGATTCTGGTGTAATTGAGAGAGTGTTTCCCTAGAATTTATCTAAGATTTCTTTGCCCTTTTCAGTAAAATGGCAGTTTATTTATTTATTTTTTTCAGATGAAGGATCCAGTGAAGCCCATGGTGGTGGAACCCAGTGGAACAGTAACAGCACATCACAATAGGTAACACCATTTAACTAGCATCAGCAAAATACTTTTCACAGACAGCCTATGACTTTGCGAATGGGGCAGCAGACAAGGGGTTATGTGAACTTAGGTATGTTGGAGCACAAACATGTCACAGCCAGTTTTAATCCTTAAGCCTTCTTTTGTTTTGCAGGTTCTTGTTTGCTGCAGGTATCTAAATTTAGCCATATTTTTGTCAGCTAGAACTTATGTTACAGAAAAGAATGCTAGCAAATCTCAGCAATGTCACACTTTATTAGTCATGCAAGCACTTAAAAGCAAGGTTTGAAACACAAAATTCGACAGATTTGTGGTGGCAGTTGTTTAAAAATGCCACACTG